CTGCCATTTTTTCTTTTATGCCACATCATTTTCAAATTGAAAGGGGTGTGAAAAAAAAAGTGATGACATGATATTAATTATAAATTATTTCACAAGATCAGAGTAGTCGAAGGAGAAGATGAAAGTAAAAGAACTGTAGGACAAATAGAATTCCTATTCAAATTTGGGAGTCTTTGGATGATGAAGGTGCAGTTTGGCCGACTAAGATCTTGAATATTAAGATAATGCCTGACAAATAGATGGAAAGTATAATTCCAATATATAAGAAAAAGGTGATGTTTAAAGCTGCACTTATTATCATGGTGTTAAACTTATGTGAGTCATACAATGAAACTTTGGAAGAGAGCAATTGAGTGGAAATTAAGACATGTGTCAATGATTTTAGGAAAGAAAAAGGCCTTCATATGCTGTTTATTGACTTAGAAAAAGAATATGACAGGGTTCCTAGAGAGATACTATAGAGTTTTGAAAAAGAAAGAAGTATCAGTTAACTTAGATATATTGATAGAATTAAAGACATATGATGGAACCGTGGCTAGTTTGAGAATAGTAAAGGGAGAGACAAGTGAATTTTCAATGACAATAGGTTTACATTGAGAATCAACATCAAATCCTTGTCTTTTTGCATTTCTAGTGGATGAAATTACTAGGAACACTCAAGAGGATGTCCCTTGGTATATGTTAGTTTAAACGCAATAGTTTTAGTTGAGGAAACAAGAGGAGTACATGGAGACTTGCACATGTCACCTTCAAACAAGGTTGCCAATATGGAGCTGACACGTCACATATATAGACAATATACCTCCACCTAGAAATGTGCTTGACCATTTAGAGCAGTATGGCTTGCCATGATGGCTATGCATAATAGGCCTGTGATGTAAGTAGACTTGTTAAATTTGGGACTCTCTCTGATGAATTGGCCTATCTTAGTCTAATTGTAAGGCACAATTAAATTATTACTTCTAGAAAGTAGTAGAACTCAAGATTCTGGGGCTTATGACTTTCCTTTACATTGCCCAAATAGAGCATTCCTGGCCTGGTTGTTAGGGTTTGTTTTATTCTCATTTCAATTAGAACATACCAGTCGAATTTCAATTTGCTGACTGAATTTTTTTTTATTTATTAATATCTTCATAGTTTAAGTCTCTAATCATGTAATAGTTATTGCAGTTTCCCGCATTTATTAAAATTCTTGTGCTGAGTTTCACTGTTAGTTTTCATCCTTTCGTTGTCCAATCGATCGATTTCAAGTAAACGAGGAAACAAATTGCAACTGGATAGTGGTACAAGCCTTTTCTTGTACCAGCTCGTTGCACTTGGGGCCAGCTTCTGTTTCCAAGACCTTGGAAAGAGTTCTGTTTGTGGTATGACACACACAAGGCCAAGGGCATCAAGCCATTCCTTCAGGGGATGGTAATGTAATTCCCATTTATTATTATTATTATTATTTTCCTGCGATTTAGTGAAAATCAATACTCGTATGTGAACTATTTTTATTTTAATTTATTTTATTTTTTGTAGGTGACAACAGGATGGTACAAAAAGATGGGAGAGAAAATATGGACTCCTTGGTTCATTAAATTTATTCATTCTCGTGGATACTCTAATCTATATACCAATTTTTCACAAGAGAGAGCATTCAGTATCTCCCATAGGGATGCGGGTGTTAACTATGGGAAAACAGCTGGGCCAGACTCATATTTGCTGGATGAAGATTTCAATCTCTTGGAAATGCATCCTCTGAGCAAATTGAAGTGGTATGATTTTTGTTTCATACAAGTACTTCCTGATAGAGTCGTAAATAGTTTCGATGAACTTGGGTCTGTTCTCTGCAGAAACTGGAGACTATTATACTTGTAACCTACTTACGTTACCACAAATGGTAACAAGAAACTTGCTTTGCCACTTTGAGAGGCTAAATATTCAAAACGACATACTGGTGGGCCCTGAAATCAGATTTCTTACTTGATCTTGCAAGACGAGGCCATCCTGTTATCGATGTGGACCAATTTCTTGACAATGTGCAAGCTTACAAGTCAATGGATTTTCAACAATCTAGCATGGAATTGATCAAGGAGTGAAGGCATATGTAGTTAAGAAGACATTAGAACTTGGCTACAATATATGGGTGCTAGATGGTAACATGCTTCCATTTAGTGGTGATTTGTTTCTTGATTCCATTGATCCCAGCTATGATTTCTATGTTGGAAAGACCTTTAAAATTCTCTTTGTTAAGTGCTAATCATCTGCTAAGAAAAATTGGGTTGATGATAATATCTGCAAGGTTGCTATGATGGTTGGGACTGAGAAAGGTAAGGATTTATTTTCAATGGATGGTGGGAACTTCGTGTATATAGTGGCAAAAGTATTAGAACAGAAGGGTGTGAAAATTAAGGGCATTGATGAGATGAGCTTTGGTGTGAACATCAATGCTAGTAATGTTAATCAAACCTCTTTGGGGGATGGAAAAAAAATGGTTTTCTGGTCCTTCGAGATGGGATTGGATTTAATTTGGAAACACCTTGAGGAATTAGGCATGTGGATCATAGATGGTGATTCTTCGTGCTCAGCTGTTGTTTGTCACCAGTCATAACATCCAGCGGCAAGTGTAAGTTTTTAACTTTTCACATCAATGTTTAACATGGTTAATCTTTCTGTATGAATATTTTTCACATTTTTTATTTATAAAAACAAGTAGTTTTCACATTCTTTTTAAGGGTTTCAATATCAAATATCACCCAAGTTTACGTGACATTTTGGAGAGTTTAATTGTGTTATCTAGTACTAGTACTAGTAATAACAAATATTTTTAGAATAGATAGGAACAATTGTTTAGAATCAAGAAAAATCACATGTCATTGAAATAGAAATTTAATAGCAAATCACAGGTGTCATGTGATGACTTGTAGAGCATCTTTGCGGTTGCAAATCTTTGCCTGCATGCAATAGTGAAATCGAACCTAGAATAGTAGTAATAGTAACTATATATTATGGTTCTATTTGCAAATGATGTTTTGGAATTCTCTCCGATCTTGAAATGGAAATGGCACTGCTCCATCCTTTCTTGACTCAAACCAAAACCGTTCTGGAATTCAAACCATTCGAACAATTCCTCTGCTCTGTGTGTCGACTCACTTACTCACCCTCCATCTACCTCTCTTCCATCCATTTTTGACTCAAACCAAAACCGTTCTGGAATTCAAACCATTTGAACAATTCCTCTGCTCCATGTGTTGACTCACTTACTCACCCTCCATCTACCTATCTTCTTCTTCTTCTTCTTCGCTTTTCCCTGATCTATCCATCATTTCCTCCCAATTTCTCTCACTTTCCTTTTCATTTCATTGCATGAATTTTTTACATGGTCGTTTTGTATTCAGTTACCAGATTTTGATGTGCCATTGTCTATAGTAGCATGCCAATGAATGTATTTGTTTGCAAAGGGTAATTGGCATACTGATAAATGCAGTTTCTTTATCATCAGATGAAATCTGATATAGGACAAACTAAATTTATGAAATTCTTAGGATGGTATGTATAGATAAATTTTATGGTAAGTGCAAATTATGTAATTTACCGTATCTTTTCTTTAATTTTTACAAATTACGTTATTACATATGTATTTGTTATTTAAAACTCAGAGCACGCAATTAATGGTCCCTTGGATTAGTCGGTCCAGTGGGCCGGATACCGAGTGGTAAAAAAATTGGTAGAACAACAAAAAACACCCCTGAAGCTTACTTGATTCTAAACAAATTTTCCTGTACATTAAAAAAAAAATTAACTGTTTAATTTCAAAATTAATTTTTAGTTATTTGTTTAAACGGTGCTTAGCACATGTATTATGCTAGTCCTAAGCACATACAAATAAAACAACAAAGAGTGTTTGTGTCTCATTTGTGTTGGTAACAGAACTCATATCATTAACAATTTAAGTACTTTTTTTACCAAAAACAAGTAATTATGTAACCGTCTTAAAAAAGTTGATGAATTCTTTCCAGAAATCCGTTATTGCTCTAGTGACTACAAAACTTTCCAAATCCAAGATTCAGTAATTAGCTCTTCTTAGTATTAGAATATCAAATCTTCCATATACCATTTAAAATTTATTAACTTTTGATTTTTCAGAAAATTTATTTATTTATTTATTTTTGGTAAAACAAATTTTTTGGAAACTCTTTGATTGAACTAAGTATGAAGAAAACAATGTTGTGTGCAGGTGCAGAAGTAGTAGTCTGGAGTTGGAAAGAAGACAGTTTGAGAATGGCATTGCGATGTGCTTGGAACTCGGAATACTGGCTCAGAAGACGAGGATTGGCAAAAAGATTGCTTTAGAGCTTCCAAATATGACCATTGATGAACTGAAGCATCACTAGTACTACATTCTGCTGGTGGATGCAAAAGACATTGATGACGGACTTGTGCCTTTTCCTCACTATATTGATAATCATCACATTACAGGGAAGCTTCTTCACATGATCTTGGAATAAAAAATAAAGTTTATTTGTGGGAGACTTCACACGGCCGGGTCTAATTTTGTTCACTTATCCTCCTATGCCATTGGTCCTTTTAAAACAGTTAAGTTCAGCAAAAGAATCAAACACATGGATGATATTATACCTCCTACCTATCAAGTTGGCGTACAATTTTTTTTCCAAGTTTTGATCCTCCATCAAGTTTGCCCCTATAGCTAACTCTATTTTAATATTATTTTTTTTGTTGCGAGTATGTTTAGCAAGCTTTTTGATAATGTATATTTGGAACTCTATGAATAATTGTCTTTTGTTTATGTCATCTGCTATGTATGTCAATCAAGTTTGGGTTAGTTTGCGACAGACAGGTCAATAACGGCTTTGTGGGTTTTTTTTTGTGGATTGATATTACTAATGTTTATGTGCATTTTATTTTATTTGGATTCTTCTTCCTGTTAAGAAACCCTCAGTGAAAAAAAACATTAAAACAAAATAAATATAACGCCTAAAACCAGAAATAAATCAGCACAGTTGCTAGGACAAATAATTTGTATAACATTTTAGTATATTGTACACTGATATCCATTAATCAATGGGTTCAACTGTCCTGCCTCAACTCTCAAAAGCAATGCATAGACAGTTGCATAATTAGTAATTACAGCAAGTTCACAAATGTGCACTCTGTTTCACCCTAATCACATCTAAAAAACAAAATAAATAACAAAAAAATTCTCTGTTTCAACAAATAGCACCTATTATCCCTCCATTTTCTCTCTTCCTTTCAAACCCAACTGCAACCAGGATTCTTCTTCACTTCTCTTGATTTCATCAATTCTCTAACATGATCTGCGTCATTAAACCTCCCTGCATCTGCATACATGTTTGATAGAAGTATGTAGTACCCGGAATGCTCTGGCTTTAGCTTGAACAAATGCTCAGCTGCCCAACACCCCAATTCTATATCCCCATAGATTCGGCAAGCCCCAAGTAAAGCACCCCAAACACTAGCATCTGGTGTAATTGGAAGGCTTTTAATAAGCTCTGCCGCCTCTTTCAAAAGGCCAGCTCGGCCAAGAAGATCAACCATGCAAGCATAGTGCATCTGTGTTGGCTTAATATCACAAGCACTCATCTCGTCAAAATATTTCTTTCCCTCCTCAACGAATCCTCCATGACTACAAGCTGACAAAACTGCAATATATGAAACTGAATCATATTCTACACCTGTCCTTTTCATGGCTTCAAAGAGATTGATGGCAATACCCAACTTGCCCAGCATGCCATAGCCTAAAATCATGGTATTCCATGAAGCTACATCCTTATGAGGGATCTGATCAAAAACCTTTCTAGCAAGATCAATCTGCCCACATTTGGTATAAAAGTCCAAAAGTGAGTTCGCAATGAAGAGATGTGTATGAAAGTGCTTTCTTACCAAGAATCCATGGATTTCCCTTCCTTGCTTGATAGCAGAGAGATTTGCACAAGCCGAGAGAATGCCCACAAAAGAAACGGTATCATGCATCATTCCCATCAGTCCCATCTCCAAAAAAAAAGTTAGAGATGTTAAGCAGTCACTAGTTTGGGAATAGCCTACTATTAGTATATTGTATGATATCTCATCTCTAAGGGAAATGTCAAACACTTTTTGAGCAATGTTTAGGCATTGACATTTTGCGTACATATCCATCAAAGCATTTGAGACAAATAAATCAAAGACAGACCCTTTTCGAATCGACTGAGCATGGATTTCCTTTCCTGCACGAAGAAAGCCTATTCTCGCACAAGCAGGAAGAGCATTTGTGAAGGTGAGAGAGTTGGGAATCTCACCATGAGCTTGCATTTCTCTAACAAGTCCTACCGCTGCAAACTCAAGACTGTTTTGAGCAAAATTAGCAATCATGGCATTCCATGAGACCACATTCCTTGTATTCATGTTGTTAAAAACAGTTGAAGCTTCAGTTGAGTGCCCTGATTTTGCATACATATCAATCAGTGAGTTGGTGACAAATCTATCAAATTCCATTCCCATTCTTAGACTAAAACCATGAAGTTCTTTCCCGGCAAGGAAACAATCTAGTTCAACCAACACCGGTATCATACTAGAAAGAGTGACCGGGTTTGGTTTTATCCCTGCATCGATCATCAACCTAAACATGTGCAAGGCATCTCTGTTATTGTGTCTATAAGCAAAACTAGTTATGATCGCATTCCAGGAAACCTCATTCTTCTCAACCATTTCACTAAAAACCCGCTTCATAGCCTTCACATTCCCACATTTCCCATAGGCATCAATCAAAGCATTACTGATAGTCACTTGAAAATCCAAACCTACCTTCACAACATAGCAATGAGTCTCACTCGCCGTCACTTCATCCTCCAATGCGGCACACACTGGCAAAACAGTCACAATACCAACAACATTTGGCATAGACCTAGACCTTGATTTCATCTCCTGAAACAATTCAAGTGCTTTGGAATGAAACCCATTAGCTGAAAACACCCCGATAATCGTGTTCCACGACACAATGTCTCTTTCAGACATTTCATCAAACACCTTCTCTGCATCACTCAAACAACCACAACCTCCATAGAACAACAAAAGGGTATTCCCCACAAACACATCCGAATCAAAATCCAATTTGAACAACAACCCATGAACCTCCTTACCCTTCCGAACCTCCGAATAGTCCGCACACACCTTGAGAACAAAAGGAAACGTATGGTCATCGGGTTCAACTCCACTTTGAACCATCCTGTTGTAAATTTCGAAGGCATCATGAAGTCCAGCAATGGAGAAAGCTCGGATGAGAGTGTTCCACAAGAAGGCGGAGCGAGAAAACGGGACGGTGAGTTGGAAGAGAGTGCGTGAAGTTGATGGGTCTCCGAAAGTGGCGTAGCGAAGAATGAGAGAGGCAGAGATCGAGACAGAGTTGGGAAGTAGTCCTTTGAGAAGAGCAATGGCATGGGCTTGTTGGGTTTGTTTGAGGGATTGTGTGGAGGAGCAGAGTGGGAGGAGAGAAGAGTGGCTTTGGGTGGTTGATGAAAGGTCGGTCCATTGTACAATGGTGGCGGCGGTGGTGGTGAGGGAGAGAGATGGGTTTTGGTTTTGGGTTTGAATTTGAACTAGTTTGCATTGGGTTGAAAGGGTACGAGTTAAGCTGCGGCAAATACGAGCATAGGAGTAGAACATAGGATTTTTTTTTGAACTAGTACAACATAGGATGTTGGCAATGCCTGTTTTTGCGAATTTAAGATACACTTTCGTTACGTTTAGTTAGGAAATTTGAGAAAAAATTTAAAAAGAAAATAAATAAAAAATGTATAAAATTAGATAAATTGTACATATATTTATTCATGTTTTAACTATTTTTTTTTCTTTTGAAATTTCTTTTTAAATATCCTAACCAAATATAACATTTATGTATATGATAACGGTGCACACATTACGTATGTAACATATTATTATTTAAATTTAAAAGTAAATTGTAAATTTAATTTTCAAAATTTGAAATTGCCTTAAACTATTGTGAAGAACGTGTGTAAGTATATGATTTTTTTTATTTTATATTTTATATTATTCAGTTTACACGTGACAGATGTTTTAAGAGATTAAACTTAAGTCACACCTAATATAATAATATATATAGCATTGCATACTAGAATATATATACATAAGTAATACTATATTCCGATCAAAAAACGTAATATTATATATATCTTATGTCTTATTTAGAAAATAAAATAATGAGGATAATGATGTAATTTCATATTTTATGAGCTATAATTAAAAAAAATATATAATTAAACAAAAAAAAGTCATAACCAAATATCTCAAAATAATATTATAACTAAAGAATAAAACTTACTATAACTAAAGAAGAAAATGAATAATCAAGGATGTATATATATGAGGTGAGTATAATAAAATTCTCTAATAACGGGACACGCATAAATAAATGACTCATGTGTATTTTATAGTGAAAAAATAAGATAAAAAATATAATTAGTATTTATTAGTATATTGCATATTGTTTATCAACATTATGATTAAAGGAAAAAATTATTCATTAATCCCCTTTGGAGAAAAGTTATTCTATTTAGTCTTAGAAGTTTTTTTTTTTTAAAATCAATTAGTCCTTTTTATTTTAAGTATTGTATTTCTTTGTTTTGAGGCTTGAAAATTTACTTGTTTGCCCTTGTGTGTGATTTTGTTTGAATTTTTTCCTAATATTGGGTGTGCGTAGGTAAGGTAAGTTTTACGTTTACATATTTTTTGTGGAGATTTAGTAGAGTGATTTGTAGGTGGATGATGTTATCCCGTTTGTGGTGTTATTGGTGTGATGTTCGTTCCTTTTTGTAATATTGATATTAATTAACATTCAAACGTAACACTAATTTAACACATAAAAAATACTCCTTACTATAATTTTTCCAAACACAACACTCCAATATAAAATTCTAAAAAAACTACTTAGTATAACATTGTCACGACCCGCTCCCCGTACTCAAGGGTTAAGTATCGTGATGGCCAGTAACTGAGGTTACCTACGGCCAATTCTTAAACAAATCAAATTACGCGAGCGGAAGTAATATTTAAAAAAGGGTATCAAAATAATCATTGGAGTTTATATTTTTATTACAAAATATATTGACCAAAACGGTCGATATTTACATATAAATAATATCATAAAAAATACTACGTGTGTCTATTCCGCAGCCCGACTTTCCAAAAAGCTATTTCTGAAGTGCATTAATTCCTGAAAATTGGTAAACAACTATAAGCACATGGCAGAGTGAGAAATATTATACCAAGAGTATAAGGGACACGAAATAACCATGGACAATTAATTAGGCCAAAACATTTATATAACTCAGTTTGGTACATAAATCATTTTAGTAGCAGAAACTGGAATACAGATATTATATAAATAGATAACCATAACCACGGTACAGAACATAACAGAACAGAGGTCACAGAAGTGACAGTCAGAACAGAGGTACGGATTCAAGAGGTGGCTCATACGGATTCTAGAGGTGGCTCCCACAATAGTGTAGCACTTAGCTCCGCACAGCACTTTGGTCCACACAACAGAGGTACGGATTCAAGAGGTGGCTCGTACAGATTCTAGAGGTGGCTCCCACAATAGTATAGCACTTAACTTCGCACAGCACTTTGGTCCGCACAGAATAGAGGTCAATGAATCCATGACAAACAGAGGACCACAAAGTGGTCAAACAGAGACCAATGGTTATTTAAGTCCCCAAGGCATGAGACTCCCGTGGTGGTACTTACAAAGCATAATTTTATATAAGGTCATAGCCAAATATTTTTTTAAATATAAACAAATATATCCATGGATTTCCTTTTAAGCAAATAGGGTTCAGAAATAAAACCACGTAACTGAAACCTTTATAAAACATAACTTCTGTAAAATAGATTTTGGTAAGTCAAAATATAAGTAAAATACATTTTGGTAACTCAAGATATAATATAACTCACCTTAACTTTAACACCTTACTCTTTCTTTCCACTATAAAAAATCCTTTCACCTTCCACTATTTTTTTTCTTTCTTTTCTCTCTTTTCTTTCTTTATCTCTTTCTTTCTTCTTTCTTTTCTTTCATCCCTTTTATAGGAGGAGAGAGCATACGTGGCAGATTCGATAATAATTATAAAGATTTATTCTTATCCTTAATAGATATTTAAGATAATTACTTTTTGATTCAATATTTTAATATAATTATATAAATAAAATAATTTTTAATTAAATTACATTTTACCATATACCAACAGAAAATAAATTATTTATTTTACTACCACACTCATTATTATTATTATTAATATTATCTATATTATTATTATTTATATTTTGATCCCTAAACTTTTAAATAATTATATTATTTTATAAAATTACGCATCATAAGATATAATAAATTATATATTTTCTGAACTGAGATTAAATAATATTAGTATAAATTTTACAGAATAATTAAAAATCTGGATTGTTACAAACATTCTAAAGTAACACAAAAAAATTTCTTATTGTAATGCTTTAATGTAACATACAAAAAAATTCCTTAGTGTATTTTTTTCAAACGTAACACTCTAATATAACACACAACAAAATTTCTTAATATAACACTCTAATATAACACACACAAAAACTCCTCAGTGTAACACTCTAATGCAACATACAAAAAAATTTCTTGATGTACTTTTTTCAAATGTAACACTCTAATATAATGCTCTAAAAAAATCCTTAGTATAACACTCTAATGTAACACACAAAAACTTCGTAGTGTAACATTTTAATGTAACACACAAAAAAACTCATTAGTGTACTTTTTCTAAACATAACACTTCAATATAACACTACAAAAAAATTCCTTAGTATAACACTTTAATGTAACACACAAAAAAATTATTTAGTGTACTTTTTCCAAAGGTAACGCTTCAATGTAACACACATAAAAAAAAAAATTATTAGTGTACTTTTTCTAAACATAACACTCCAATGTAACACTAAAAAAAAAAAAAAAAAGAATGTGAAATTCTTCAAACCATTCCAAAAGGAGTACACGTATTCTTTAGTAAGTTTTGAACAAATATATAATTTCAAACTGTGAGTGTCACATTTGAAAAAAAAGGGTACACTAAGGAGTTTTTTTACTGTTTTGTGTGTTATATTGGAGTGCTACGTTTGAGATTACACTGATTGAAGTGTTACGTTTGGGAAAAGTACACTAAGAATTTTTTTTTTACATTGGAGCGTTATGTTTGGAAAAAATACACAAAAGAATTTTTTTTAAGTGTTACGTTGTTACGTTTTGGAAAAGTATACAAATGAGTTTTTTAGTGTGTTAGATTGAAGTGTTACATTATTGGAGTGCTACATTAGAGTGTTAGGTTTTTGTTCGTAATGTGTGATTTGTTCTAGAATGTGGGAAAATCCAAAACTTCTATAGTTCAAATTGTCCAAATGTGTAATTTTACCTTTTGAGAAAATCACTTTTATTCCTAAAAAATTAAACCCAAACATGTAAGTGACTACTCGTTTATGTAATTTCCACTTGAATGGGACCTTTGGATTTATAAGAAAAAAGAAAAAATTAAATCGTTCATAAAATTATATTTTGAGATTTGTTGATATACTTCAGCCACGATTAAATCCATCTCTATATTCATTTACACATTAAATTATTGGGTAGTCTCAAATTATTTTGTAATGTTAAAACTGCAACAATCACTTCTCTCTACCTAGCAAAGATAACTTATCATATTGCATTTGTAAAATTTTTCATAACTTGTTACGAAAATTATTAGGTATTTTTTGGAGTATTACATATTCATATTCTTTCACTAATAATCATTTATTATATCTTTTTATGTTTCTCAATTATACAATATAAAATCATAATATCTCAATTTCTTCATCAATTATAATATTATGAAACACCATGTGACCATACTCTCAAAATACCCAATAATTATCCCGGTTACGTGAATAGTTTTGAACACTATGCAACCAACGCTACAGTTCCAAGAATACCCAATAATTATCCCATTTACATGAATTTTTTTTTAATTCAATAGTAATAGAAAAATTTAGTCAAAACCCATCTATTGGACTTTTATTTGGTGAAAATGATAGTTGAATTTATTTTTTTCATAAACCCCTAAGGAGGAAATGCATGATTGAGTAAGGACAAAGTAAAATATCATTTTTTTTAGACGATATTGTCAGAGTAACATATTACTGTATACCAGAATAATATGTTACTATGAGATAAAGTAATATGTTACTGTTTACATCAATTTCGATAGTAATAATAATATTTTTTTTGAAGAATTTTATAATCAATATGGATCTTATTTGATAAATCTTAATGAGAGAATTCTAAAAATACTATTAAAAACTAGTAATGCTACAGGCCCCAAAGAGATGACCAAATAAATGACCAAAAATCTAGTTGGACTGCCACCTAAGATTAGTGGGCCCCACCACTAAACAATTCTCATTTTCCTCTCACGTGGTAGAAAGAAAGAAGCAGAAAAGAAAAAACAAAAACAAAAAACAAAAAGGTGCCAAAACCCCATCAACTCCTTTCAGACTTTCAGTTCATTGAAAAAGCATAATCATCACCGAAGGAAAAAAAAAAAAAAAAAAAATCATCGCCGAAGAAAATAGCCTGTGTCGAAAGAAGAAGTTGATCAAGTAAGTTTTTAATT